TGCTATTACTTAACTAAACACTATGATACAAATAGGGATGCTTCTGGTATACATCAGCTTTTTGCTTTGATCAATCATTTTCTGACGAAGGAAAAGGTCATATTTGTCTAATGTCAATCTGGTTACTGCTTAGTATTACATTTCGTTTTATGTAATTTATTATTATTTTATTTATGATCTTCATTGTGTTTGTTCCTTTCACACTTTTTTCTTTTGAAAATCATCTTTCAACTATGTAAATAAGTCACAAAAATTTCAGTACTAGTCAGCCATCTTAATTATTTGCATTGATAAATAAAGCACACAACAGTCATTAACATGATTTTTACAGGAAACATGTCGGCGTTTCCTACAATTAGCAGTACCTCATTTCGCATACATTGGTGGCATGTCATTGTTGGAATGTACTAATAAAATTAATTGCCTTTATACATTTGAAGAAATTTTAAATGCAATTTTAAAAAACAGAATCGATACATCTTCTTCAGCTAAACTGATCGAGAGGTAATTTTTCCTATGACCAAGTGAAATTTTTAAGAAAATTAATTAATGTACAAAAATAACTTAAAATTGAAGATGTATGGATGAAAAAGATGCATTATAAAAACACTGTACCGTGAATTATAATTTAAATTAAAAAATCACTGCAAACAGAAATATTCAGCTCTATTGTTGAGATTCATTATGTAGTCCTATTTATCATTTTCTTACATCAAAGCGATCAGCCTGAACCTTAAATTCTTTAGACTTTTGATTTCTCTGACATAAATTAAAATTTTCTAAAACAATTTCGTGGCACTTTATTTACTATTTAGATTAACAGTTTCCTACGACGGAAATCAGTGATAACTAATTTCCAAGCATAAGCTGATATGTTGATGTTTATGTTGATTAGTATTAAATTTGCAGATTTTTTGGTCGTGCTACGAAATCCACCAATATTACGGATCAGCTTTTGCTTGATGAGTTTCGTCATATAACTTCAGAAAGCATATTACCGATTGATTCACTTTCGAAATGGATCATCCCTCGTTATGAGGATCCTACTCACTATTACACTCTTCGAAAGCAGGTTTAATTTTACAGTGTAGCTAAGTGTGATGCATCAGTTGTATCCCGGATTTATCTGATGCGTTACAACAATATTTGGTTATATTATAAATTATAAAGTAGCTGAGTCCAATGTACAACCATTAAAAGCATTTTTTAATCCATTTTCTTCACTGATCTTTTCTAGGTAAACATTTCTGTCACAAGCATGAAAAAGCCAAACAGACAAACGTAATACTTTGGTTTATCTAAAATCTTTGTCGTACCTTTTTGATTCGTAAAGCTGTAAGCGTAATATTTGTCAAACGCTACATGAGAAACACCTTTTAATATTTAGATAACATTATTTCTATTATGTTCAAAATTTATATAGGTCGCATTAAACATGTCCGTTCTTTCCATTTGTGAATATATTCTTCACCTTAATCCGGCAACAGTGAGTGGCCTTTGTCTGAATACAAGGACGGGACAAGCAATGAATGTCGATTATCTATTTGGATTAAATCAAACTTGTATGTTTTGTTTTTAAAACAATGGTTCTCATTCATACATTTATATAAACTGCATCGAGAATGGTGAATAGAATTACTCTGTGAACGGGCTGTGTGTAATTAATGCATAAATATTGCTTTTTGTTTCTTATTTTTCTTAATGCTATATATAAAATTTCAGTGGAACTTGAAGTTGATCGAATAGTACCGTATCGGATGTCACCAAATTTGCATAAGTTTCTGGGTCTCTCTGTCGAAGGTTTATATTAATGGTTGTCGTGATGTGAAGGAAAAATTAGTATTAGACTAGTCAGCTAATCTTTATAATTATTTAAGAATAGTTTTAGTAGTTAACTTTATATTTTATGAAGGACTAATCGTTTGAGTTTAAGTAAACACTTTATATTATTGCAAAGTTTAGGTCACTATAACTGTTCAATAGTTGCAACAGTTCGATGTTTATATGCACGAAAGATTGTTACCTACGCTCAGCTTTTTCTATGGGATGCGTTGTCACGACAGAAAAAGTTGCCTGTGGCAGAAATTTTTAAGCTAGCACGAAGTGCTGGCAAATTATTGGAAAGCAGATTAAATGGTTTGTCTTCCCTTACATGATAAAAAACAATTTGTATTGATTTCCTCGGTCTTTCATTTTTTTTTTTTTTTGTAGAGCCTTCATTTGAATGTCTCTTTCTACCCTCTGTAGAGTAACATCTCAAATAACAAATATACTCTGTTTTTTTTTTTATGAATAAAATTCTTTCGTTTGGTGCAGCAGAATTTTCTGAATGAAAAAAATCTTTCAGATTTGTATAAAAAAGAAAGCTTAGCTGAATATGTTGCTCAGTTAACTCAAACGGCACGCAAAGATGAAAATTTAGCACGTTTAGACCCACGCTTGCATCCTTGGTTCTGATTTTTAGCATAATTTCTGTGTCTTTAATATACGTCGGTTTTTTTTATAATACTTTTGTTTTGGTTCTAATTCTCAGCATTTGCGAGTGTTATAGGGAATCATTTTTTTGAGATGTTGGTATTTTCGATAACTTTTCCCTTGTTTTAAAAAATTATGTGTGGATGAAAATTTGGCATTTCTGAAACATTTCCTGCTTAATATTTTAATGCAATTATGAATTTTCGACTTCCCTTTCATTTTCTGCAAATGATAAACTGGATTTGGAAAATGTCTAGCGATGTTTGGGTTAAGGCCTGCTGCCGAACTGATACATTTGTTTTAATTCTATTAAAAAAGCTACTTTGTAAGTCAATAGTTTCTGCATAAAGCTTTAGTACATGTTAGATCTTACATATATATATATATATATATATATACTTAATATCTGCCTTATGCATTTTGTTATCTTTTGCATTTGTTCCATTCGTTATCTATAATCAGTTCTGACCTATTTACCACAGATTGTTATTATTTTGCTTGCACCTTCCTTGGTCTCATTTTTATATAGGTCAATTCTTTTGCATATAACATTGACATCTTTGTAGATAATTGTTGAATTTGTGTCTGTAATTTGCTCGAAAATACCCAGGTGTAGTTCGACTTGTTTATTAATGATAGATTATGTTTTTCATTTGTAGAAATACTTTAATGTTACTATTCCTTTCAGCAGCGTAAGAAACAACCTACTGGTCCTTGATGTTCTTTTCTTCTTCAAATATCGGACGCATTCCAAAATTTTTGAAATATTAAATTCATCCTTGTTTGTTCGCAGAAAAATCCTTATTTATTCAGTTTTATTCGAAAATAAAGTGCTTTAGAATTTTATTATGTGCAGAGTAAAAGGGAGTTGATTATGACAGGATTAATGGCATATTGTTTATATAAGTACCAATCAATTAAAAACATACCTGCTAAAATTTGAATCAGAAAATTTGGAAACTAAAGCTTTGTATTCGCAAGTGGACTGCAGCGCTTGCTTGAGTACTTCGGCTAGAGGACAAGCATTGAATTGAAAAATTTATAAAAAAGCTTCAAAAAATATAAATTTTACTCAGCTAAAAGCACATAATTCTTTCAACCTTAAGAGGCGGTGCTCATATAGAGGAATCTTATTTTTGTTCAACATATGGCTCCATAATCGACCAGAAGTTGACATTTCATAAAATTATGTTTACTCAAAAAAAGTTTACTCCATATTTTTTGGTCGACTCATAAGTTTTCCTGGTCAACGTTGTTCATAATTCAGTTGTTTCCAAAGAAAATTTCTCCAGTTGAAGAAACGATCTTCGATCAGATTTAGTGGTTTTCATGATTAGTGGAAAGACCTTACGCTTCCGCGCTGTTGAAATTTGTTCTTCCATATTGAGGCAAGTTATGATTTCAACTAATGATTGCTAATTGCCACTTATTAAGAATACAAATTTATTCAATTTTTTTACTGTTTAAATAGGCCGTAGATGTGAAAGATAACATACAATGTTTACAGCATATTTCACCAAAAAACTGCTAATACACGTGAAACAGCAGTGCTTCAAAAAGTTTTGAGAAGAGCAGAATCTTGATAAGCTATTCGAAACTGCTAATAAATGATTACGATCAATTATGGAAGCTGACCTCAAAAGAATTGATCGGCGTTCGTCATTCTGTGGTATGCTAAACAAATTAGAAAGGTGAATAAGTTTGGTAATACTAATCTAAAGTGTTGATATGAAAATCAGGAAATAGCCATTTTGAAGTGTTAGTCGAGAAGGGATAAGGTTCTAGTATTAGCAACAACGAATCATTTCCTGATTTGATTTCAGTGTTGGAGAGAGATGGAATTCCAACCCATTTCCTTAACCCTAAATTGCATGATTGTTTGGAATTTCCTATTAGCCTGATAATTCTCAGTCCTGATAAAGCTATAGCATTTAAAATATGGAAGAACAAAAAGCGCTTACAGAAATGAACGAATTAAATTGGATTATGAAGTTTTTCCTCTAATTCAATTCATTACAAATAACTTAAGAGAAGGGCTAAAGCAGATACAGCCTGGATTCACCTTCTTTACTTACTTTTGCTTTGGAATACTTTAAAGAGGCTTCTCTACTCAACAATTCAATCAAATTCTCGAGGAACTCAGCAACCCAAACAGAACTTCCGAGTCATTTAAACTGTTGTTGTGCTGTAGCAGATAAAACGGGTCCAACAGCGATTGGATGTGGTGAAGAGTGGAGTTGCTTAACGGTGGAGAAAAAGAGTGTGTTTGAGGAGAGTAACAAAGATCAATGAAACTGATGGGTAATAGATAATGTGTAAGGTGGGAGGATAGGAAACAAAAATAATGTGGGAGGCAAAGAAATAGCTTGATTATATGATGACGAAAAGAAAGGAAGAGGAAAGGAGAATGTTGAAATGAGGAGAGTACAAAAGAGTGGCGGTGTAGATTGAAAGGGGAGAGACGGAAAAGAAGGAGACGTTTTTATATTTAGGAATTCATTCAAGGGGTTACGTGATCGAATCGGATGGGAAGTGTGCCGCAGGCCGATTGGATCTGTCTTTATAAACAGCTACTGAGGTCGGCCTCACAGGTATGGTCCATCTCATACATTATCGCAGTAAAGGTGATGTTTTTGCCAACTGGAACTACTTACGCATCCTATCCCATATGGAGATTTTTTTCAAGTCGAAACTTCAGAAGTTTACTTTTCTGTGTGTATCTATTCGTAGCTGATTATCCTGTTTGCTTTTCAGTTTCCGCAATATAATTATCGAGAGTTTTTCAAACGAAGAATACGCGACCACTTCACGGTAGCAGTGAAAAACAACAACATCTCAAAAGCCGAATTTTACACGGTATTGTAATTTCAAACTTTATTGGTTACATAGTTTACCAAACAATCCACTCATTCCTGGATATTAAATAACCATAGGATTGAAACTAATGTGATCACAGGAGGCATACGAAGATCTGTCACTTCATCAGATGTGATTATATGGTTTCAATATTTTTAGCAGAAATTAGTTGAGTCATTTGATAATGGTAAGAACTCAAGCACTGGAACATGTTCTTTTTCAGAAGTGTCAAGAGCTGCTGCAAGTAATTCGGCGTCAGTCCACTTTATACCAGAGTTATCCTGTCTCGAAACTTGTGGTGGAGGGGAAAAGTCGTGATAAAGAATCCGCTCATTGACTTAGTAAGAGAATCACTGTGAAGGTGTAGAATGCGCGAATGTCCAAAATGTAAAGCTAAGGAATACAATAATCGAACGATGCTGATGATGATTAATGAGTGTGGTCATCCATTATGCAGGCAAGTCAGTCCAAACAGTTAAATGAGAAATATTTTAGAGTTAATCACATGTATGGTGCCCGATGAGATACTTTATATTTGGCAGTTCTAGAAACTGTGTAGAAAATCTGTTTGCTCGCAACAGCGGTCCCTGTCCACAGTGTGGAAAAATTTTGTGGAAGAAAGGATTCTGGGAACAAATCTTTGATGACCCTGTGGTGGAGAAAGAAAATCATATTCGTAAAAAACTTGGAAAGGTAAGATTATATCATATTTTGTTGGTTTAGTGGAGAAGTTGGAAGTTCATGAAAATGACACTATGATTACCATTTCATGAGAATTTTGTCAAGTCCTCTGTGTGTCGTTTAAGCAGCCATATTTAGATTTACAATTTGAAACGAATGGATTTTCCAACGTTGCGCGACTTCAACAATTATTTGGAACGGATTGAAACAATTGTCATGAATTTGACCTATAATATTGATGTTGAGGAGACCGAAGCTGAAGTTAACCGTTTTAAATCAGAGAACAGTGAACTTATTGAAAGAAATAAGCGCAAGGTAAATAGACTTGTGACTGGTATGTACAGAATGATTTAGTAAGAAATGCGCGTCATACTAAGTGATCGATAATGTTCTAGAAAGGATCTACTTTAGCGGTTATTCCTAGATTATTTGATTTGCCATTTCTAAATTCTCAGGATCAAGTAAAAAAGGTTTTTTAGCTTGATGAAGATCAAATATGGGTTTTTCAAATGTTGGAAGAAGAGCAAAAAAGAAAAAAGTATGTTGTAGAAGGAGCCGGGAAAAAAGTGAGTACTTTTCTTCGATTAGTACTAGATGTTTCACAATCTTACCAATTGATTAGTTATGTAAAATTTTCAGGAGTTGCCTGAGAAAGTGACTAGTTCAGACAAAGCTAAGGCAATAATTGACGAACTCCGTGAATCTGATTTGCCTGCAGAAGTCATTTTGGATCGTCAGAGAAAGCGACAGATTGAAGCAGAACTCGCAGAAAAGGAAGAAGCTGTAAAGCGAAAGAAATCTAAAATGGGTAAGGAATTAAGTATCACTTTAAGATTACACAGAGATTAAATATTATTTATATAGAGCTCTGTATTCCCTGAATAATTCTTTGAATATAAATAAGTTATTCTTTTGGTAATTTCTTTAACTTGAAATCTGTTTTCATTTTTTCATATGTTCTTTAATTGTAGAAGTCATTCTAATTACAGAAGCTCAACAAAAACGTCTCGATACTGCATCTTTTGCACTAATTCGTATAAGTGGTGCACCGTTCGTGTATCGTGGGCCGGAACTTCCCATCAATGGACCATCACTTCCAAAACCCGAGGATTTGTCTCAAATGGGATATTTGCAGCATGTATTACAAATCAGTGGGAGTAGGTATGCGGGTGGATTTACGCCGGAAACATGCTGCATGCGTGCTTTATTTGACTCCAGAATTGACTTATTTTTATTTTGAAGCTTTAACTTGTGTGAAGTATCAGTAGCAATGAGTGTAGTTTAAGCTCATTAATGGAACTCTATGAGGAAAATTTTTAATTTTATCAGTTTTTTCAGACGTTATAGATTAGGGTACATAATTGTAAAACGTTTTGCACTTGTTTTTCATGTGGTTTCGATTCATGGACTTATCACTTTTGAAAATTAGCAGTTATGTTTGGATAATCGATATTGTGCTGATAAAATTACTTTTTCTGTATTCAAATTTAAAAGTTAGAATTTTAAAAATATAGATCATTATTGCCATATTTTGAGCTTAGTGGTTTTTCTACTATATTTCTATTTTGTTTTTGAATCTCCTTGCGTCCTGTTTTGTTTCTCTCAGTGCGAACAGTTTTTTCCACCATATTTTTCAAATACTTTTTTTTTCTATCCTCCTGCTTATGTTTAGTGCATTTGATCAATTTTCGTAGAATACTATGCTTTCAGAAAAATTCACATCTGAAGTTCTTAGCTTAGAACTACTTAGAACTGTATCGGCACTGTATTAAATATTCTATCATCCAGAAATTTAATTGCGGTGATTTATGTATTTTAGATGTTTAATGCGTTGTTTCATTCTATCATACGTTTTTGATTTTTTTTTTTTTTTTTTATAAATAAAGCATGGAATTTATAATGTGTTTAATTGCTTTTTAGACTGGTCAATCTTCTTCTCTACGCTGTTATTGGCAGTAGCTTGGTGCAGTTGTATTTATTTTGATTTCTAATGTGTCATATCGCGGGAAATGTGGGAGAACGTTCCAGATTCCTCGGAATCTCATTTTTAGAAATGTAAAATCATGAGTAGTTTACCATTAGAAGTGCCGGTTGATTGCGGGATGGTAGTAATCAAGCTTAGATTTATAGTTTGTAATCTATGCATAATCTAAGAAAGGGTTTTTGAGGTTTTATTCCAAGTCTTCACTTGTTTCTAGTGATTTAAATTCCGGGATTTGGCATGTACTATGTTTTCTTAAAACTTTTGGTATTTTGCTTCACCCATCTTACGATGTTTTGTTACGCATACAGAACGAAGCGCAATAAGAACCGGTTAATGGAAAAGAAAATGTTAGCTGAACTAGTCATGTTTAGAGTGCATATTACAAAGAATCCGTAACGGTTATTTCATGAAGTATCTTCAAATGAAGTAAAATTTCACTAATTGATTTAATTCATAGGCGATATCATCATTGTTATTGTAATGTTTCATGTTCACTCATTCGGTCATTCTCATCATTTTTCTATTCAGTTACTAACATAACAAGCTCGAATAAATCTTTTTAACGCCTTTTTTACCTGATTTTATTTAATTTAGGTTTGTTTACCCTTACTCATTACCTTATTTCGAAGTTAATATGTTATGAAGTCTCGCCATTCCATTCTGTTTAAAAAGTCTTCCTTGAAAATTATACTGCATCTACTCTAAAATTGGGGTCAATGGTAACTCTCAAATGAGGAATATTTATTCTTAATTGAAGTCATTGAAGGATGGATAATATCGAGACGGTATATCATGCAATTGCGGTATTAAATGGGTCTGATAGTATTGCATGCAGCAAAGCTAGCATCTGGCTTGGAGAATTTCAAAAATCCGTAAGTTTTCTTGAAAGGGTTATACAAAGTGTGCACAAACTTTTGTGGAATATAAAATGAATTTGATTTGGAAGTTGTTGCAGGTGTATTCATGGTCCATTTGTGATCGTATATTATCTGAACATCGAGATTCGACAGCCAGTTACTTCGCTGCTCAAACAATGAGGCAGAAATTGTTGCATTCTATAAAGGAATTGCCGTCTTCTTCACATTTGTCTTTGAGGGATTCGTTAATTAATCATTTGAGGTCCTTATTTCGTCATTAGTATACTTGTTTGAATTACATTTTAGTAATTCAAGGGGCAGATTTGATTTGTTTATTTTGGGATTTTCAATTTTCACCAATGACTTTTACTGGGTATCATTTTCGCCACTTGATCAGTTGTTGCATTACAAAATTGCAGATGAAATCATTGACTCTTTACATTATGAAGTTTTTTTGTCGTATGTCGTTCATGATGATAGTTTTTCGAAATCAAAACTGAATACTCTTTTGCCTGACAAATTCTCCTATTTACGATGATTGACATCTGTTTCAGGAATTACGAGTCTTATCCACTTGAAAGGAATTCGGTGATCATAACTCAGCTTTGTTTGGCGCTTTCTGATCTTTATTTACAAGTGCCGGAATGGACTAATTTCGTTGCAGAAATTCTTGAGAGGTTTTTTTATTGTCTCTGTCTGGATTTCATTCTTGGAAATAGCTATATTTTCTTTTGCTAATACAACACGTTGAGTATTCATCTGAAAACGTCTCACTTCACAAGTATTAAGAACATAATTTCTTATGACTTTCATGCCGGATAAGTTGGAAATTCATTTCTATAAGTTGTCCTTTCCAGAAGCACATCTTTTGTCTATTTTTAATGATCTGCTTGCAGGTTCGGAACACCTGATAAAACTCCTGTTTTACTTACTTTTTTGAAAACCCTGCCAGAAGAGGTACAAAGCTCACATCTAAGGATTGGTGAGAATCGGCGCCGTGCAGTAAACACAGAACTAGCACAGAAGACACAAGCAGTTATTCATTTTTTAGTGAGTTCTTATTACGAATTTCTTCAAGCTTGACCAAATGAATATTAATCTTTTTTAAAATTTTTACAGTATTATTTTCAATAAGTCCTTTTGCAGAGTCAAGTTTGTGTTTTTAATAATAATGACGATGCGATACTGAAAAGAGTTCTGAGCTGCTTCAGCTCCTGGTTGCTAAATCCGCTGATTCCAACTGACGATATTGCAGCAAGCGAACTGCTCAAATATGTTTTCTCACTTTTGGTTCGAATTTTCTTACCATTTTTATATTTTTAATATCCTTTTATGTGTTTAAATTTTCAGTTATCAAAGAAATTCAAAAAATTAGCTTTGATTTATTTCATTTGAGGAAGCAAGACAAATTGACAAATGATTATATTTTCTGGCGAGAAAAAAAAGAAAAGAGAAGTAGTTAGTAGTCAGTTAACTTTTGGAATACATATATTTCTGAACTTATTTGCAGCAGAATCCAAATTCACCCAGTTCATTGCATGATTCGGCTTGTGAATGTATTGTATCAGCGTTATATCGTGCTGAAGATACCAATGTTAATCGTGCTTTAGCCGTGGCTTTGCAAACTGCATGCTATGGGATGGCGGATAGCTTTTCAATGGCTGTCGCGAACGATGATTTTGATAGGTTTATATTATATAAATTGTTAAAATTTAAAGAACTATTAGTCCAGAATTTGAATGAACATTTTGGTGACTATATAAACTAAAAGTTCTTTATTAGAAATGAGAAATCATGCTTTTAGCAAACGACGAT